ACCACTAGACCATTCAGGTATGACCTAAATCAATTCCCTTATGACTATACAGTGGAAGTGAGAAATAGATTTAAGGGACTAGATCTGATAGACAGAGTGCCTGATGAACTATGGATGGAGGTTCGTGACATTGTACAGGAGACAGGGATCAAGAGCACCACCAAGAAAAAGAAATGCAAAAAAGCAAAATGGCTGTCTGAGGAGGCCTTACAAATAGCTGTGAAAAGAATGGAAGCAAAAAGCAAAGGAGAAAAGGAAAGATATACCCATTTGAATGCAGAGTTACAAAGAATAGCAAGGAGAGATAAAAAAGCCTTCCTCAGTGATCAATGCGAAGAAATAGAGGAAAACAGTAAAATGGGAAAGACTAGAAAACTGTTCAAGAAAATTAGAGATACCAAGGGAACATTTCATGCAAAGATAGGCACAATAAAGGACAGAAATAGTAGGGAATTAACAGAAGCAGAAGATATTAAGAAGAGGTGGCAAGAATACACAGAAGAACTGTTCAAAAAAAGATCTTGATGACCCAGATAATCACAATGGTGTGATCACTCACCTAGAGCCAGACATCCTGGAATGTGAAGTCAAGTGGGCCTTAGGAAGCATCACTATGAACAAAACTAGTGGAGGTATGGAATACCAGTTGAGCTATTTCAAATCCTGAAAGATGATGCTGTGAAACTGCTGCCCTCAATATGCCAGCAAATTTAGAAAACTCAGCAGTGGCCACAGGACTGGCAAAGGTCAGCTTTCATTCCAATCCCAAAGAAAGGCAATGCCAAAAAATGCTCAAACTACCGCACAATTGCATTCATCTCACACGCTAGTAAAATAGTGCTTAAAATTCTCCAAGCCAGGCTTCAATAATACGTGAACCACAAACTTCCAGATGTTCAAGCTGGTTTTAGAAAAAGCAGAGGAACCAGAGATCAAATTGTCATCTAAATTACCATATCACATTCAATTATCATGTCTCCTTAGTCTCTTTGGGTTATGACAGTATGACAGCTTCTCAGACTTCCTTTTTTTTTGACAACATTGGGTTTTGAAGAGTACTGGTCAGGTGTTCCGTAGAATGTACCTATACTTGAAAATTCATATTTTTTTCATGATTAGATCTGGGTTATTAATTTGGGAAAGAAGATCACAGAAGTAAAGTGCCATATTCATCACATCATATCAAGGCTATTGACATGATTTGTTACTGTTGATCTTCCCCTTGATCATCTGGATGAGGTTGTATTTTTCAGATGTCACCTGTGTAAAATTATACCATTTTGCCCCCTTTCATACAAAAGGTACTTATTAGGTACTCACTAGGAGGAAGTACTCTTTAGGAGGAAGTCACTTTGTACATCCCACAGTTAAGGATTAGAGAGCTGTTTTTCACTTCCTTGAGGGCTGAGTATCTACATAAACTCCTTGGCATGATTTTGCATGAGAGATTTGTGACTTCTCTCCCATTTATTTATTTATATAATCTTATTAACTTTTTATTGTATTCATTTTATTTTACACATATTAATTTTGTAATTATTTTAAAATAATAATATTTTAAAATTCCTTAGCAAATTATTAACCAGTTTTGGACTTCAGAAGTTAGGAACACTCAAGCTTATTAGAAAGGACCTATGGAGTTTGAAGAGGGGTTTCACAGGTAGCGCAGTGGTAAAGAATTAGCTGCCTGCTAATGCAGGAAGTGCAGAAGATGCATGCTGGTTTGATTCCTGGGTTAGGAAGATCCCCGGAGTAGGAAATGGCAACCTGCTCCGGTATTCTTTCCTGGAAGATTCCATGAACAAAAGAGCCTGGTGGGTCCATGGAGACACAAAGAGTCCAACATGACTGAGTGAGTACATGCACACACATGGAGTTTGAAAATACAACACATTGTGTACTCTTTCTTTGTTAGTAATGTGTCCCAGGTGGTACTAGTGGTAAAGATGCTGCTTGCCAGTGCAAGAGACATAAGAGACATGAGTTCAATCCTTGGGAAGGTTTCCAGGAGAAGGGCATGGCAACCCACTCCCGTATTCTTGCCTGGAGAATCCTATGGACAGAGGAGCCTGGCAGGCTACGATCCATAGGGTCACAAAGAGTCAGACATGGCTGAAGCTGCTTAGCACACACACATTCTCATTTAGACCATAGAAAGCAACTTATACAAATATTTAGCATTACTACTGCTTAGAGAGTAAGAATGTTGCATCTGCAGATCAAAGATGAAGCCGACAGAAGGCTTTCTCGTTGTATACAGTCTCAGAGCATGTTAGGCTTCCTGACTTCAAGGTAGGTTGCAAGGAGCTAACCTTCATTTTGCAAACTCTTGGACCCCCTTGTCCTATACTTGGAAATGATATGTATATATCATGCTTTTCTTGTATACAACTGGAAACTTCCTGGGATAGAATTTTTCAATTGTTTCCTTTGAATATATATATATATATATATATATATATATTATATATACATGTATATATATATATATATATATATGAAGTATAATTGTTTTGCAATATTATGTTAGTTTCCTCTGTACAATGAAGTGAATGAATTATATGTAAATATACATATTTCCCCTCCCTCTTGGACCTCCTTCCCACCTCCCCCCATCCCACTTATCTATGTCATCAGTGGTATAGATGAACCTATTTCCAGTATAGGAATGAGATGCAAACATAGAGGACAAACATAATTATTAATATTTTCTCCCTACAAAACTAGCTAAAAGTAAATTTTGAAACTCTAAATCAGCATACTATTAATAATAACCTTAATATCACATTATCCCCCAATTACTGCTCTTTTATATATATTATCAATAACAATATTTCTCATACATTGTAATTTTTTTCCAGATATTTCAGTCAGCCTGTTAGCAGTTGTTGTCAGCTTTTGTGGCCTGGCCTTGTTGGTTGTTTCACTTTTTGTCTTCTGGAAGTTATGCTGGCCTTTCTGGAAGAGCAAACCCATGACTTCCAACATCAGTACCCTTCCACAGAGCTTGTCAAGTGCTCCCACTGAAGTTTTTGAGACTGAAGAGAAAAAAGAGATTAAAGAAAATGGAGAACCAGCACTAAAAGTTATTGAGCCTGCAATAAAAATCAGCCACACTTCCCCTGATATCCCAGCCGAAGTCCAAACTGCTGTAAAAGAACCTTTAGTTAAACATGCACGTGTGCAAAGACAAACAACTGAGCCTACATCTTCATCCCGGTAAGGAAAGATCAAATAAACAAAACTATTTGGGCTGTGTGTGTGTCTGTATTTGTGTGTGTTGTATGTGATTTTCTAAGGGAGAAAAACTGAGGTGGGAAGGGAGAAAAGACAAACAAGAGAAATGAGAAAGACAGAGGAAAGTAAATAATAGAGTAATGAGGGAATTGATAGGACAGAATAAATAGGGATGAAGAGAAAGAAATTGAGGACAAAGTCAGACAGAGAGTGGTACCATGAAAAGTAGAGGTTTCATTAAAATAATCTAATTAGAGGTTTATTTATGGCTTTTTCCTTTGAAATATTTTTGGTTGATTTCCAGTCTTTCAATTTAGTTTAATACAACCAATAAATATCAAGAAATCAGCCATTTGCCTTGTGTTCCATTAAATCATCTACAAGTTCACAATCAAAACCGAGTAACAGAGGCTAATGTTTAGTTTACACTTGTTTAGCACCTATACCATAAACTGCTAGAAAATTTCATTGCTTATTGGAACTCATAGACCAAACTATTATGGTAAATTCCAGAACAGCTTTGGTGACTATCATAAGCATAGCAAGAGTGTACATGAAGGGAAGACAGAGTGATACATTTTAAGGAGGTACAATTTAATTCAGCCTGGAAAAATCAGCAAAAGTTTACTTGAACAAAAACAACTTGCTATAGTGTATTTCAAATTGTGTTAACTGTAAATGGGAAAAAGATTCTTATGAAAAGACTTTTTTCTACTAAGTATGGTCTTCAATCTTTAATATGAAAAACCAACATGTTATTGTAATAGTAGCACTGTTTCTGATAATAACAGTCTAATAGTAGCAGTGTTTCTCTGATTCCCAGATGTAACAACTAGTTTTACCCTAGGGACATGGTAAAAATCAAAAGCAATGGGAGTAAGTGATGTTTTCTGCTAGACAATTGACTTCCTAATCTTACCTTCCTATCTCTCTAAATCAAAGATGCATTCATGCTTTCTGACATGATGCACTTTTTGTGGATTTGGAAATCTATCAAGTTGAAAAACTACAAGGGTCATGTTTGCTATTAGGATTGAAAGAATATTCAATATATCTTTTGTAAAATTTTTAAAAAAGGATTGTATCTATAAATAAACCATCTTCTTTCTGAGATAAATTCCAGTGAGATAAGTAAGAATAGCTGTTACTTCAGGGATGAGGAACTTTGGGGTAAGGAGGATGGATGGAAGTGTTATACTTTTCAAGCTATTTAAATTTTATAACCTAGATGTGCTTCGTGTTTAGTTGCTATGCTGACAGGTTTTCCTGAGCACTGCATTCATTCACTTTTGTGGTCCAGTATACATTAATTTAAATTTATCTATAAATAGTTAACTCTAAAATAATTATTCCATATGCTTCTTCTTTATATTTATAGGAAAAATGCTTTAAAATTATTTCATGTAGTTATTTGATTATCATTACTATCTTTACTATCAAAACTTCAAACTGTGGCCAAATATGATATTTAATGAAGCCTTAACATACTCAGAAATTTCAGGGTAAAAATATTCAATTAATCTACAAGATATTTTTTAAAATATTGATACTCTCTGTGACTATATATCAACTTAGTGTTCAGAATTATTCAAATATTTCAGTGGATAAGTGCACCCCACATAAAGACACTCAATTAATGAAGATAACTTGGGCTTCTCAGGTGATAATCTGCCTACCAATGCAGGAGACACAGAATACCTAAGTTTATATCCTGGGTCAGGAAAATGTCGTGGAGGATGAAATGACAACCCACTCCAGTGTTCTTGCCTGGAAAATTCCATGGGCAGAGTAGCCTGTCAGGTTGCAGTCCATGGGGTTGCAAAGAGTTAGACACAACTGAATGACTGAGGATGTACAATAAGAAAAACTTGCCTTTCTTTGCTCAATTTTTTTTTAGAAACCTCAGAAAAATAAAACACTATCTCCAAAATATTATCTGTTGAATGTAAACAAACAACTTATCCAATTATCACTAGCTTCCCTGATAGCTCAGATGGTAAAGCGTCTGCCTACAATGCAGGAGACTCGGGTTCGATCCCTGGGTCAGGAAGATCCCCCTGGAGAAGGAAATGGCAACCCAGTCTAACATTCTTGCCTGGAAAATCCCAGGGACTGAGGATCCTGGTAGGCTACAGTCCACGGGGTCACAAAGAGTCGGACACGACTGAGCGACTTCACTTCACTTCACTTCTGGGGAGAATGAATGAATACATACTGAGAACACAAGTTTGAAGAATTAGTTTTGGATGCAGAATTGCTGTCTAGAAATAAAATACAGTAGAGAGTGACAACACGTCATTTTAGCACTAAATTTCTCAGTCAGTCAGTCACCCAGTCATGTCTGACTCTTTGTGACCCCATGGACTGAAGCCCACAAAGCTCCTGTCCATGGAATTTTCCATGGAATTGTCCATGGAATACTGCAGTGGACTGTCATTTCATACTCCAGGAATTTCTCAGTAATTATATGAAATCAAATCAGAAAAAAATCCTTTTTTCTACTAATCCTAAAAAACATAAAGATGGCATTGTACATATGTCTCATATTTTTTTAAGAGAAAAAGTATAATACAGATTCACAGTTTTTCTATAAGTTTGATATCATTGGCCTCTTTCAATTTCCTTGTTTATGAATGGTTGGGGAAGGAAGAAAATGAAATATCGTTTTTGAGTGCTTGCAGTTTAGTCACCATGCCAGCATTCTTTCTGCTAATCCTCTGCCAGCCTGCATGAAGTTAATATTATTAATTATCCCTATTACTTGTGAGTTAACTGAAACCCAGAGAGACTTTAAAAATTTCCTAAAGAAATGCAGCTGGTGAATATTAGAATTCACATTTATCCAGATTGATGGAACACATTTTTAGAGTTAAAGCCAAGGAGATATGGTTTTTTTTCACAATCAAAGATGTTACAAACAAGGACCTGCTGTATAGCACATGGAACTCTGTTCAGTGTTATGTGACAGCCTGGACAGGAGAGGAGTTTGGGGGAGAATGGATACATGTATATGTATGGCTGAGTCCCTTCACTGTTCATCTGAAACTATCACCATATTGTTAATCAGTTATACCCCAATACAAAATAAAAAGTTTAACAGAAAAAAGATGGTTACAAAGTCCACTGAGGACAGGTAGCTTGGAGGTTGGCGAATGAGGGCATCTTCCTGCTCATTCTGCTCAGTTAGAAATGTGGAATTATATGTGGTTATCATGAATAGCTAGTCATGATTTTAATCTGTTTGACCTTGGGATGAATTTCTTGCAGAAAACTTGATTATTTCTATTTTTCAAAATTCCCCATCTATGTTAATTACTTCATCATACTAAAATTACCTTTATATATAGAGGAAGGGGAAATTGCTGAGTTTATTATACAGACAGAGAACTTGAGGGCACATTATAATAAATTGGATTATTCTGCTCAAATGCTAACTTTTCATTGAAGTCTAGCAATATCAGGAGCCCCCCCCACCAACCCACACAGTAATTTAACTTTAATGCTTGGTTCTCTCACCTTATTAGGATATCCCAGCTCTAGTCTGATTAGGACTCCCTTTTATTTGGCTTAGACAATAGATGACAAGCATCATATTCTCTCAACTTTTACTTGTCTCTATTATTAAGTGGCATCCTAATTAGTTAACAACACACTAGAAACTATCACATTTCTCAAGCTCTCATCTTGCTTTTCAAATATTTGGACATTTGACCTCATCAGCCTGCTGGCAGCCCAACAGCCCAACAGATGTCTGTGTATTTCTTATTATTAACATTATTCTAGCATCTATCTTGATTGCTTTTTCATTCATCCAGTAGTCTTACTTAATAGATATAGTCAGTAGATATAACTTTTAAGTATAGTTAGGGTATTCTGCATACTCTATCTGATCTGCAACTCTAGGGAGCTGAAAAAAAATCCACAACATAATGCAGAAAGATAAGAAACATAAGAAATTATAATATTCAAAATTACAAGTACATACTGTGTGGTGGAAAATGTGGATTTAAGAGAATAGAAAAATCATTGCCAGCTGAGGCATGGATCTGAGGCCAAAGGAAACTAGAAATTCACATAAATGGCAATTTGAAGAGGGTATGCATTCCAGATGGAAACATTTTATATGGAAAGACACAGAATAGGAAATCTTGCTATGAAAACATCAGGTAAGTTGCCTTGATCAGAAAATAGAGGTCAATTGAGGAATAATTGAAGATAAAGTCAGTTGGAATTAAAGTCTGAGAAGGGCTTGAAATCATGGACAAAATGTTCAAGGTCTGTCCTGTCAAAAATATTTGTGTCAGAAGAGTCTTTTGGTTAAAGAGCTGTGTTTAGTAAAATTAATTTGACAACAGTTTGTAGGGCAGGCTGTAGAAAAAGACATCTATTTTGAAAGTAATATAGTAGTTCGGGCATGATAAAAATCAGGAAGTTTCAAACAACAAAAGGAAAACTGAGAAAAGTTATAAAGGAAGAATCTAAGATTTCATAAAAAATATTGTGACACTTCTATCATTCCACATCTATTCCAATCCTAGACTAAGAGCTTGAAATTCAAACTTTTGATGTTTGATGTATGTGTCTGATGATGCCAAGCTGCCATTATAATGTTTAAGGTTCATATTTCCTCACACATATAGCCCTGCCTTCTTAGGCAGAAAATCTGCTGATATCACTTCTGCATTTCTCTTGACACCTAGACAAAGCATTATAGAAATTCAGGACATATTTGTTGAATTTAAAAAGTCAGTAAATGAATTTGATGACTTCATCTTATCTATCCAAATGGGTCTTTCATGGTTGTCAGTTAAAAAGGTGCTTGGTCTTTTCATCATCCTCCTGTAGATCTCAACTGTATTCTTCTGTGCTTGTTTCCCTTATCTAGAATGAAAAACTATTTTATTCACTATAAGATCTTTAAGGAAATAAAACTTTTTCTATCGAATTATCAGTTATTGTCCTTTAAAGTCATATCTACAGTC